TAAGGTGGGTTTATATGGAACTATAATTCAACTATTGGCACCTTAATTCAATTGTCTATTCATTTGTCAAATGGCTATGCATTATGTTAATTCAATATGCTATGCAGTTCTTGGCCCCTGGGAAGGCGGGCCCTGGTCCGCTCTCGGCCAGTATTTTTTTTTTTTTTTTTTGAAAACACTACTGGCTAGTAGTGTTTTCTAAAAAAAAAAAAAAAAAAAAAACTACTGGTATTTTAACAAACACACTTCTATACTTACATAGAACCTCCTTAGAGTAACTTGGAATCTTCATGAAGGGTGATCTGTTACTTCCAATCCGTCATAACAGCATTTACTTCCAGCAAAAATCAACAACACAGCGCATCTAGCTAGGAGGATATAGACTCGTCTCTGATTGGCCAAGAGCGGACCAGGGCCCGCCTTTCCAGGGGTCAAGAACTGCATAGCATATTGAATTAAGTTGCACTCAAACCATGTGGCAATGCATTATGCAATATGCCAATCCAGAGGGAGGTGCTGTTTCACAACACATTAAATGAAACTTGGAATACTCAAAAGTGGAATACAAGTCAAAATAGGATATAACATGCAATTTTGCCAAATACAACTCAAAACTAAATGCCATGTTAAGAATGAATAGAACAATGAATAAAGAGGCCAAATTTCCATGTCAATATGCTATTCATTTCAAAATCTTGTAATTTGTAATATATAAAGACATTGTATCGACACTTTACATATTGAATTGCCATTAGAACTTTTGGAATAGAACATTAAATGTCAAAATTGGATATAACATTACACTTTGACAAATACAAATACAAAATAAATACTAAAATAACATAATGCATAGCCATTTGACAAATGGATAGACAATTGAATTAAGGTGCCAATAGTCTTCCATAGGTTTATTTTATATACTCCCAGAGTGCAAAAAAATGGTGAAGGCAGTGCAGAGCGTATTTACAACGAAATTAGCACACACTAAAACAAGTTCACACTGACACATGGTTAACCTTTAAATTTCAAGTTTCATCCTCTGTAACCAGTGACAGACTGTGCCAAACACGGCTCCTGGCCCCTCCCATTGAGCAAATTATTTTGGTAGAAATGACATTACATTACATCATTATACTCTCAAAACATGTACATTTAATTGCACACATCATATGGGCATAATTCCCATTTAAAGTGGTTCTCACCCCCGCTCCTCGGAGCTTACGTCAATCACATTTCCTGTTCAAATCTTCCTCTAAATGGGCGTAGCCTGGAGGACTTAAGGGGCCGTGAACGAGACTGGGCCGTTTACATTGCTCTGGGCGGGGGGCTGCTACGTCAGGTCTTGCTTCAGACGTCAGGTCTTGCTGCCGCGCCAGTGTTGGCGCCAGATTCAAAATTCAAATGTAGTAATACAGGTCGCCAGCAGATGGCGCCTCACAGACGGTTTTAGGCAGAAAGTTTAACTTTCAACTAATTTGCACCAAAGTGACAAGATCATGACCAGGATATGTGGACAACACTATTGGACACTCATTTAAGTGGATTTGAGGGTGAGTTGTCCTTTAACCCACCAGGAAATAGTGTCCTGGTTCGATCCTGGCACACAGACCCAGAGGAGCGCGACAGACGGGTAAATGTGTGTGAAAATGTTTGCTTGAGTGTATTTCTAACCCGCACAAACTTGTGTGCACCTTTGGCGAACTAGTAACTGAGGGGAGAGAACGGATGATGCGTGTGGATGTTTGAATGGCACAGGGAAAAGTGTGCGTGAGTGTGGAATGGTGTGTGTGTGTGCGTGCAGGTGTGCGTGTGCGTGCCGGTGTGTGTGTGTGTGTGGCGCGTGCGGCATGAAAGTCAGTCTTTTGTATGATACTATATTCGCGCACGTACTGTACCTAGAGACGGACCACTCTGTCACACTGGCATTGTTGCACCACGCTCCCCTCGGGAGGAGCGCCCCACAGAGAATCTATGTGAAGTACGCAAAGGCGCTAACTAACTCAAGTGATAGTACGCATTTCTGATATTTGTCGCGCATGCGTACCTGCGTACCGCTTATGTGCACCCCTGGCAATAAATATATTTTCTTAAGGAAACCATGTTTTTTCATTCAGATGTAAATCAATACACAACACAACATGTATACATTAATATTAGTCAATTAATGGGTAGATAATCGATAACACTGGGTAACAAAAAAATATTGTTTGGAAATAGTCCAGGGTTTTCCAGCTGAATTAGACTAATTTTGATGCTCTGAGTCCGAAAATGACCTTGGTTTTGCTCAATCAGGTCAGGATTTGTTGCTACAGAAATATTTTTTTAAATCGATTTTGCGGAAAAAACAAATTTTTGCGGATCGTCAGCTGAGAAACCCTTGACGTTTTTTCCGTTTTCCTCAAGAAATAAAAGTTAACGTATCCAAAGTCATTCAGTTTTTATTTACTCCATCAAATTTGATAAGCAGAATTCATAATAACGTAGACGTACGTAATCCGTAACACTATGGCTGTATCTCAAAAAGTTGACCTGATAGAGCAAAATGCATGTGATCTTCGGACTAAGAACACCAACATTAGTCTAAATCGGTTGAGAAACCCCTGACCATTTTTTGGCTGTCAACTTGTGTAATGAAATCGAATCAAACTGAACATTTTTTTTATCATTAGATTGATTGATGCATTGAAAAAATTATTGCTAGATTAATCGATTAAAAAAAATATCGTTTATTCCAGCCATAGTGTCATGCATTCTTGGGCGTATGCATCAGGGTCCATGTCCATTTTTAATGAGAACATACATTTATCAACTGAACTTTTGGCTACCAGTATGTTATATTTGTTTTACCTTGTAATTTACAACGAATCTGTTATTAGCACAAGTCACACATATTTGCTTTTTAGATTCTGAAATATGAACACGGCCATTGCTCTCCCCTCAGTCCTCACTGCTGACACTGAACCCTTTCCCAGCTTTTTTCTTAGTTTGTACTTCTTAAAGCGTGACTAAACACCTGTGCCCAGCCTTACTCCGCCCACATGAACATGATGATTCAATATCGGTCAATATTGATAATTATTGACTTTTTTTTAAACCTAAAAAAAATACATTTTCATGTTGGCTAACATGTAAGCAGCATTTGTCACGGGGGAATGAGAACTCAGGCTGGAGGCATATGTTCACAAGCACAGTGTTCCCCATTGTCACTCCTGGTTAAATCTTGGTTTAGCCCTGGTTTAGTCCTGTTTTATCTCGTTTTTTGCTGTTTTCGAGTGTCTTGTGTCCCCGTGACGGCTCTGTGCGGCTCTCTGATAGCCGCACGTGGTTCCAGCGGAAAAAGTTAATCTCTTGCTTTTTCTGCATTAGTCTCTGTACCCACTGCCTCTCCCACGCCGCAGATGCTATTCCTTGCACAGACTCGGACACTGCATTGAAACACGACAACTTTAGATCCACGGACGTAGTAACAAATGGTGCGGTTGGGTTTTTTTTATTTCCCAGAATGTTTTGCGGTTCAGGTCGAGAAGCCTCTGCCTACATCTCCCAGAATGCCGTGCGCTTCTGACTCCGCTTTATTTCCTGTGTTTTCTTCCTGTTTTTTCTCTAACGGAGTGAAGTTAAACTATCGAACATTCTATCAACCCCATTTTCTATTTATATCGAACATGTGTCTATCCCGATATATACATCGTTATTGTTTTATTGCCCAGCCCTACTCCAGAGCCAATAGCGAGGCCAGGCACCAAATTCTAAAGTAATGCCACCAAAAATGTAGGGAAGGCGCCACACAGACGGTTTTAGGCTCAAAAGTGAGATTTTATCTAACTTACTTAAAATGTTAAAAAAAAAGAACCAGGATTGGTTGAGAACACTATAAGAAATATATGTATGTAGTTTATGAGTTAAAAAATGATTTGGGGGTTAGTTATACTTTAAATATTAATGAAACTAATGTAAAGGTGGGCTGTGATTTCATTTTTTGATACTCGTTTAGTTGGCAGATTAGTGTATTCTATTTAGTTGTTTAGATCCTGTGGACTCACCACCTGCAGGGGGATCATTGAGGGGTTGGTACTATGTGTACCAGCTCTGACACCCCCCTGACCAGAAATGGATTAAGAGGAAGAAAATGGATGGATGGATGTTACTATCCTAGTATAAAGAGTAGGCCTAAATAAATGTCATTAAATGATTTTCAAATGAATTAATTGTGATTTTTAGTTCTGATCAGTAAGTCGTGAGGAACTTCATGTAATAGCAGAATAATAACACATTTGATTAATATAGTCATTGCATAGTTTTAGATCTGTTTGTGCTTGTGTACACATACCTGCAAGAAACTCTTGCATAGATACACAAACTTGTCTGTCTTGCCTTGCCTCTATAGGCCCAACTTACACTACCGTTCAAAAGTTTGGGGTCACATTGAACTGTCCTTATTTTTGAAGGAAAAGCACTGTAGATAACTTTAAACTAGTCTTAAAGGGGACATATCATGAAAAATCCACTTTTTGTGCCTTAAATGCCTTATGTTGTGTAGTTGGAGCCTCTAGAAGTGCAAAAAAGTTGAAATCAGTCTCTTCATGGGTTGCAGAGAACACTTCATATTCTGTTTAGGTAAGACTTTTCAACCCGTTCTGATTTTGCCATTCTCTATTACGTGTTTAGAATTATTACGTCACAGTATTTGCAGCGAGACTGCTATATAAGGGCATGGGCGTTTAACAAAACACTTCGGCCCAGCCCTCCTCTACTGTGCATCACTTTATAGACCCCGTGCACGTTAGCATATGCTACTTCCGGTCTGAAAACTCCTGTTCGGTTCTTCATTTCCGGTGACATCGGCGCTGCGTTTAAATTTGGTGGGAGTCTCAGTTCAAGGTCTTGTTTGGTGTTTAAAATGGCTCAAGCAAACGCAGATTTTAATTTTTCTAGGTCACTTGGAAATTTACCAGACATATCCATCAATGATGTCCATCGCATTATAGATCCGCCACTCATCAGCGGACCGCAGTGTTTTCCGGGGGCATCTGCGGCTGCTTTGTAATGAGCAGCTTCTGCGTTCCAGCGGCTGCAAGAGGGCTGTGAGCGGTCAGCGGGCTGCGACGAGGATGTGAGCGGTCAGCGGGCTCTGCGAGAGGCTGTGAGCGTTTCCAGGGCCGCTGCGTGGAGGCTGTGAGAGTTTCCAGCGGTGCGAGAGGCTTGTGTGCGCTCCAGCGGACTGCGGACGGAGGCTGGTGGAGCGTCCAGGGGCTGCTGACGAGTGGCTGTGATCGTGTCCCAGACGCTGTGAGAGGCTGTGGAGATGGTGTGAGCGTGTCAGCGGCTGTGTGAGGCTGTGGAGCGTCCTGCGATGCGATGGAGGATGTGTAGCGTTTCCAGGGGGCTGTGTGCGTCCAGCGGCCTGCGAGAGGGCTGTGAGCTTCCAGCGGCCTGCGAGAGGTTAGTGAGCGGGTCCAGCGGCTCTGGGAGGTTGTGAGCGTTCCAGCGGCCTGCGAGAGGCTGTGAGTAGTTTCAGCGACTGCGAGAGGCTGTGAGTCTTCAGGCGGCTGCGAATGAGGATGTGAGCGTTCCAGCGCTTCGAGTGGCTTTGTGAGCGTTTCCAGCGCTGCGGATGAGGCTTGTGAGCGTCCAGCGGCCTCGAGAGGTGTGGAGCGTTCAGCGGCTGCGAGAGGCTGTGAGCGTTATCAGCGGTCTGCGAGTGGCTGTGAGCGTCCAGCGGCCCCTGGCGAGAGGCTGTGAGCGTCCAGCGGCTGCGAGAGGCTGTGAGAGGTCCTGCGATGCGAGAGGCTGGTTGTGACGCGTCCAGCGGGCGACGGAGGCTGTGAGAGCTCCTGCGGCTGTGAGCGTTCCAGCGGCTGCGAGAGGCTGTGTGATTCCTGCGGCCTGCGAGAGGTTGGATGAGCGTCAGCGGCTGATGAGAGCTGTGTGCGTTCCAGCGATGTGAGCGTTCCAGGGCTGCGAGAGGCTGGCTGAGCGTTTCAGCGGCTGTGAGAGGCTGTGGAGCGTCAGCGGTCTGTGAGAGGCTGTGAGCGTCCAGCGGATGGCGATGAGGCTCGGTGAGCGCTCAGCTGGCTGGGCGTTTCCAGGGCTGCGAGAGGTGTGAGCGTCCAGCGGCCTGTGAGCGTCAGCGGGGGACTGCGAGAGGTGGGTGAGCGTACAGAGGAGATGCGAGTGGCTGTGAGCTTTCAGCGGTCTGCGAGAGGCTGTGATGCGGTTCCTGCGGCTGCGAGTGGCTGGGAGGTCCAAGCGGCTCTGCGATGAGGCTGTGAGCGTTCCAAGCGGAATCTGACGTGAGGCTGTGTAGTGTCCAGCCGCTGTGAGAGGCTTGTGAGCGTCCAGGGCTGCTAGAGGCTGTGAGCTTTCCAGGCTGTGAGCGGTTGTTCCAGCCAGGAAGTCAGTGATCCACCTGCAGGTGGAATCGGGCACGTTGAGCTGGGAGAGCTTGTCCTGGAGCAGGGATGGCAGGATTGTGTTGAAGGCAGAGCTGAAGTCCACGAACAGGACCCTGGCGTAGGTCCCCGGGGAGTCCAGGTGCTGTAGGATGTGGTGGAGGGCCAGGTTAATGGCGTCGTCTACAGATCTGTTGGCTCTGTAGGCGAACTGCAGGGGGTCCAGGAGGGGGGAGGTGAGGGACTTGAGATGGGAGAGAACCAGGCGTTCAAATGACTTCATGACGACAGACGTAAGTGCTACAGGTCTGTAGTCATTGAGTCCTGTGATCCTGGGCTTCTTCGGGACGGGGACAATGATGGAGGATTTGAAGGCAGGCCGGGACATGGCAGGACTGCAGAGAGGAGTTGAAAATGTCCGTGAACACAGGAGTAAGCTCACTGGCGCAGTGTCTCAGAGTGGCCGGAGACACGTGGTCCGGGCCAGGAGCTTTGCGGGGGTGCAGCCTCAGGAAGAGTTGTTTAATCTCTTTAGCGGCTATTGTTAGGCTGGGGGCAGGGCTGATGGGTGGGTCGTTAGAGTAGTGGGGGGTGGGGGAGGGAGAGGTGTCAGGGGCAGCATCAAAGCGACTGAAAAATAAGTTCAGATCGTCAGCTAGCTTGTGGTCATCAGCACAGGGGGGGGCTTTGGGTTTGTAGTTGGTGATCTCCCGTAGGCCCCTCCAGACAGAAGCAGTATCGTTGTTACCAAACTGCTCCTGTAGTCGTTCTCTGTGCCGGGACTTGGCTGCTTTCAGTTCTTTCCTGAACTGATATTTAGCTGCTTTGTAGCCGCTGCGGTCCCCCTCCCTGAAAGCAGAGTCCTTTGCTTTCCTGAGCTGCCGGAGTTTAGCAGTGAACCAGGGTTTGTCGTTGTTATAGATGACCCTGGTCCTTGTTGGAATGATGCTATCCTCACAGAAGTGGATGTATGACGTCACAGTGTCCGTATATTCATCCAAGCTGTCTGTGGCAGCTCTGAAAAGGTCCCAGTCTGTAGATTCCATGCATGCGCGCAGCTCTTCCACAGCTTCATCAGACCACACTTTGGAGCTCCTCACTGCAGGTTTCGAGAGCTTTAGTCTCTGTCTGTAAGCAGGAACCAGATGTATCATGGAGTGATCTGAGAAGCCGAGGGCTGGCTTGGGAACAGCGCGAAAAGCTCCGCGCACGGTGGTGTAACAGTGATCCAGAGTGTTCTCCTCTCTGGTCGGGCATTTGATAAACTGTCTGTATTTGGGTAATTCCTGGCTCAAGTTTCCCTTATTAAAATCCCCCAGGATAATAATCAGAGAGTCCGGGTATAAGCGTTCCATACACAGTACTTGCTCTGCGAGTGCGCGCTGAGCCTCGCGCGCGTCCGCGCATGAGAGGTTAGAGAAAGAAATATGTAAAAACAATAGCTCCTCCGCTTTTCACCTAAGCGGAGAACACACAGGCGCACACACACGCCCTCTCTCACCTACTAACCCTTTCACACTAGGAGCAGAACTCCATGCTAAGTACGCGCCCAAACGAGGCGTTGGGTTTTTAAAAAATGAAGCAGACTACTGTTGTCTCTTTTCCCTCTTCCCTATCCAGGTCTGTCGGCGCTTTTCCTCCGCGCCCTGTCCTCTGCCTCAAAGCACCAGCCCCACGCCCCAACCACAGGCGGCGCTCGCACCAGCTGAGACCCCGCGAGAAGTGGGCCCAAACCGCAGAAGAAGAAGAGGCGGAAACAGACACACGCTCAGGAAACCACAGAAGAAGAAGCGGGGAAGCAAATATGTGAGACACCGACAACTGCTTTGGAGCACAGAGAGAAACTGCTCCAAATCCCGTGACTGTTCTCCACGGAGGGGGCAGCGTGATATACCAAACGCACCCGCGGAAACCCGCTTGAAAGTTGTTCCCGCACCGCAAACAGAAGAAGCCAAAAGTACCGGCACGTTTGGGTCATTCACCAACCCTCATGGACCACATGCTAACGCTTTGGGCTACCTGGGCCTCCTGCGGACTTTGAAAAACTTCCACAGCCCGGCGGAAAGACTGTGTGCTCGACATGGGTCGAAGGACTGTTACCGGAGGAGGCGTTAAAGGCAGAGGAATGCTCAAGCTCACACGGGGCCAGAGGACGGCAGAGGCGGGCACGGAGGAAACACGAGCGACTGACCAAACCTGGGTTCACATTCGTCACCAAAGCGACCGCTCATGTAAGTTTGAACAAGAACAAATTGCAATTGGCACTTTTTAGAGATAATTCATGCCCGTAATATACGCTAACAATCTGTGGTGTACAAGTTAAAATTCTGGATGACTCCGGGGCAACAAATTCTGTGCTAAAAGCGACAGCCTTTCTGTCTCCCCTAAAATGAGCGGCCGCTTCATATTCTAATTAGCAGCGTCGGAGAGACGACTAAAGAGCAATTTACGTCACCGCTAACGTGTTTTGATTCTCAGGGCAACCAGCTTAAACATTCTTTTCTATATTCCCCATTGTCCCCGGTTAACCTACTAGGCCGAGACCTTATGTGCAGACTCAATTAAAAATAGATAAATAAAAGGAGGCACCGGTCCCAAAAGTTAACTACCACTGGAAATTGACACCAAACCCTGAGATTGCTAAGTTATTAGCCACAACAAGTGGATAGTGACGCCCGCACAAAATTTGGAGGTCAACCACGCGAACGACCTAAGCTGCTCTCTCCGGTCGTTCCCAGACAATAACTTGGAGTTTGAAAATTCATGCAGTGTAGGGAAGATAGGCTAACGGAGTACGTTTATTGAGATAGGCACCACTATCTGTGCTACTTAATGAGCAACAAAAACATTTTATCGTGAAACAAAGGTGAAGTATTAAAGTTTGAGACTAATTTACATTTTTAATGAATCCGACCTGGCTTTATTGAAAAAGAAAAAAAATAAGGAAAATAAACATTTTTTTAGGTGACAAGAGCTCATTAGAGATATAGGGGACACAATCTGTGATAAGCCCGAAGTATAGACCACGTGGTAAACACTAAAGTTGGAAATGGATCCTTTTAGGAAAACTCTTTTAAAGCTCTACAGGCTCTGAAAGTTGCAACAATAAGAAATAGCTCATGAGACAATTGGAATTGGACATGGAAAAATATAACAAAGTTAAAAGTACAGGCCTTCTGTGTTGTTATATGTTTGTGTGTGTTATATGTTTTGTGCATGTTATATGTTTGTGTGTCATGTCAAAGTACACTACGCTGACCTTAACAAACTGGACCAAAATACTAACGTGGGAAATCGGCCTGTGAGTGTGACTGTGACTGTGATATGATGTGTGTGATGTGTGAAATGAGGAATGCTGAACGGAATCATGGAATGAACGAATCATGGAATAAAATGTGTCTGTAATGTTTTAATGTGATCATGGAATAATTATTTTTTGTCAACAGCATACGGTGTAAGTACTAGAGATTCAAAGATAACAAGCTTTATTGAACAGGTGTAAAAGTGAGAGTACTCTGGGATGAGTACTCTGAGAAAAGTACTCTGCTGAAAGTACTCGGAGATGAAATACCTCGCTGAAGATATTGGGAGTTCCTGCCTCTGCTGTTTGTCCTGACAGCGACACAGTCCAACCGCAGTGAGCTGTCGTTGGTTGAGGACAACTTTGGTTTGTAAACTCACATTTAGGGGAGTATAAAATTAGAAACATACATTTTGTTGTTCTGTATTTGGCTACAGCCTCCGCCCTGATGCCACACACCACCTGTCAATGCAGTTATGTTTTGCCCAATTGGGAAAAAGATTGACAAGCGAAAGTGGGCATTTTTTTGTGTTTTTTTTGTGTTCTGATATTTCTTTTTCAGATGAGAGATAAACTACCCCTGCTCCAGGGATGACAGTAGTATGGATCAGGAGGAAATGAGCCTCCACTTTGGCACAAAAGCCCACAATATGAATTGAGGACGATCCGGGAGAAAAGCAACTGGAGATGAACGGAACAGTCGGTACTTTTGCAGCCTCACTGAGGGCCACTGAGACCCACTGCTTACTTCTCAGCAAAACTCGATCCCGTGGCAGCAGGGTTGCCTCGCTGCCTGCGGGCTGTGGCTGCCGCTGAGAAAGCGGCCCTAGCATCACGTGACCTTGTGGGATACACTGAACTAACTTTGCTTGTGCCCCATGCTGTTTCCCTGATCCTGTTAGAGCAGAGGGCCTCTCGCCTTTCTGCGGCTCGTTGGCTGGGGTACAACACGGTGCTCTTTGAACTACGGTGAAGGAATGCACACAGCTGAACTCCTCCTCGCTGCTGCCCACGCCAGAGGAAGGGGAGGCACACTGCTGTATCGCCACAATAGAACAGATATGCACTCCCAGGCCAGACCTGAAAGAGGTGCCTCTGACTAATCCTGACTTGATTTTTTTTATACAGACGGAGCCGCGTCACGTGACAACACTGGGAAGAACCGAGTCGGCTATGCTGTGTGTTCTGATTTTGATACTATAGACTCTGGTAGTTTGCCCCACTACCATTCAGCACAAACCGCTGAGCTGGTCGCGCCCACCGGGGCTTGTGAGCTGGCAGCGGGCAAAACTGTTAACATATTATGTGATACGCGCTATGGTTTCTCTGTGGTGCACGACTGGGAAGCACTGTGGAAACACCGCAATTTTATGAAATCTGATGGTAAACCAATTCTTAATTCCACACAGGTTGAACGTCTGCTGAAAGCTGTAATGTTGCCCTTAGAGATCGCTGTATGCAAATGCCAAGCCCACACTAATGCCACTGATCCCATCTCTGCAGGGAATCGGCGCGCGGACAAGGCAGCGGCATACGCACCTCTACACACACACACACACACTACCTCACTCAAGACGTTGATATTTTCTACTCCAGCAGAGACGCTGCTGTGAGAGGGGAATGGGGCTCAACGACGGCATGGTGTGTGTGGCTGGGACCAGACAGCAAACCGTGCCTACCACGGCATTTCTTCAGACAGTTTGCAATTTTAGCACATGGTCGAGACCATGCCTCAAAAGGAGGGATGATGTGTGATTTAATCACACAAAATTGGTATACAAAGGGGTTTACGGCATTTGCACAGAGATTCAGCCAAACATGCGCTATATGCCCCGCGCACAACCCAGGTAAGTCCCAAAAGTATCCAACAGGCTGCTCATCCTCCGCCCCTGCGCCCATTTCAACATGTCCAAAGGGACTTTGTTGAACTCACACCATGCCAAGGTAAGTAATACTGTCTGGGTCTGGCGGATCTCTGGTCC